GCACACACTTTACATCACTTTTAGGACAGTCACTCCCACAGGTTATGACACCCTTCCAATAAAATTCATCACCACCATGGTGATAATTTTTTAGGYGTGATCTCTCCTCAATACGAACTCTACCGACACTGCGTTGACACACACCTTTGAACAATACATCGTCTCCGACAACGCATACGCCTTGTCACCACCATCGTCTTCAAAATAACCATTACAAAGTTACAAAATAATCGTTACCAAGCAACAATTTTGAAACGATCGCCATTGTCGCTGCTCACAACACTTCCTTGATCTCGAAAATTTTAAAACTTTCAACACTTTTTTTTCCTTTTCTATGATCAACGAAACTTATTCGGCACCGACAAACCCGCTTCTATTTTTTTTTTATTCCCACAACGAATTAGAAATGAATCCCGTACGCATCCTACGCACGTACAAATAAACTACTTATTCCCACAGAGCGACCATCTCACGTTACGCGCAACCACCCCACGTTACACGTCCGACCCGCGTTGCCGCAAAATTTCAACTCAAACAAAATTCAAGCTTTTCACAAAAACCGGTATTTCTTTTAAGATAACCTTGTATTTTGAATCGCTTCGCAACACTTCCCATAAAATATATTTCTTCTGATTCAAATCAAAATATATTTTATACTTCCAACGTCATCTCGACTTTCAACCTCCATCATGACTACCACCAGAAAAACAAAAAGCGTGAAACACTCCTTTCACCCCCACATCGAATACATCCATGGTGTCTTCCTTCAGCATTACAACTATCCCAGACTCACGGAACCAATGGACACTGCATACGGTTTCACAACTGACTTTGTTAACTACCTCAATGCCAATCAAGATGCTTTCGAGGATGTCGCCAAATTCATCCCAACCGTAAAAGAAGATATCATCGACCACGTCCAGGCCAATGCGTTCAACACTACAGATAAAACTCATATCGAAGACCTAATGCAAACGAAGACGACACTACTTGTTGAAATTACAAAGAACAAACGCGTGAAACTCTTGGACACTAACAACACCAACCTTGACAAGGCTCTAAACTTCGTATCCAAAACCGAACAGCCCAACGCACTCGTTCTTTACATCAACTGGTCACCCTTCTACCTTGACAAAAGAATACAACCAAGAGATATTTACAACTTTGCACTATTCAGCGGCACTCCATTTCCACCTATCGATCCCACCACAAAGCCTCGAACTACGACTGGAACTCAAACTCAAGACCCCGTCATCCTGGAACTTTGGAAACAAAACAACGAAATCTTGAAGAACACTGCTGACGCAATCAAGAGTCTTGCTTCAAAACCAAAAACGCCGGGGACCCCCACTAGCATCGATCCTTTCATTCCAGTCAACTTCGCCACTGGTGTCAATGTCTGTTACAAGTTTAATAAAGAACCGTACAAGTTCCATACCAACAACACCCTTGCCAAAATTTACGACACTACAGGAACTCCTGAATTCAGAAATTACGCTCGTGACACCAAACACTTGTCAAAAGAACTTCCGCAACAATGTCAACAAAATGACAGGTGAAACATCCTACAAACTCTACAATTGGTACACGTGCTTCACAACCCATTGTGCCCGTTATGGTAAATGCTGTCACCCATACCCTTGCTTCCGTCCCGACTGTACTCACCCTCGAGGCTTCACCATTGGCATGGATGACGACGATGATCTCAACTCCACCATTGAAACAAAAATATCAACCGACTCCCAAGTTATCTGGGATGTTCTTCTGCTCCCAGTACATGGCCGGGCCTCTTATGCACTCTAGTTCCTTGGCAACACCAGCTTCTGTGGTCAGCAACATTTGAAACTGATTTTCCATCGACAATGGATATATTTACTACTGGCATCCCTCTCCTCATGGTTTCTGATGGATCCGGCAAAGATGGTTGTATGTCCTTTGGCTGGTCCMTAGCCACWACAGCTGGGGATAGAATTGCCCATGCCAATGGCCCATGCTTTGGCATAGAAAGTTCTCTTTGAGCAGAGGCTACAGGCTTTTTATCAGCGAGCATCTTTATCACCATGCTAATTTCGCACTTCCACAACCGCGCCTCCGAGAACAGTGCCGGTGACGATAGTTCCTCCAGCTCATCATCCTCTTCTTCTAATATCTGCCCCACACGGGTTACCTTTGTCAGTGATAGCAAAGCACTCATTCTTCGACTCCAATCCAGATGTGAATATACAGAGATATACGCCAATGCTACCCTAGCACCAGAATTTGACTTGATTGAACAGATTTTTCAGACCCTTCAGATTCCTTTCCTCACATACTCCTTTTCGTGGGTGAAAGGCCATCAGGATGACAACACCGACTTTGATCGCCTCCCTCTGATAGCCCAACTGAATGTTGAAGCTGATGGTTACGCTGGCGATTTTCAAGCCCAGATGACTACGCCAAATCTTACTACCCCAGTACTACCTTCTTGCCCAGCAGTTCTCCAGATCCGGTCTCGCTCCGTTACCAGCCAATATAAGAGAGCGCTTACAGATTCTTGTTTAATCCCCC